GCATGAATCTGCTAAAGGGTATGATAGATAATGGTAAATATGTTGCCTTTTCGCGTTCTTTTTGTGATGTCTTGGCAGGTCCGAGTCAATCGAAAAACCCCTCTTTCTCTTTCACTAAGTCCACGTACGGTTAAAAGGTTCCCTGCGATTTTGATGTCCGATCATGATATTCTTAAACTTGCTTCACCGTTCCAGTTTACTCTTGTTGGTAAATTTACTATTCGTAGACCAAACTTAAATGCGATTCAAAATTTTTTTGGTAAACTGAAACTTTCTGGCAATTTTTTCATAGGATTGCTTGATCCTAGGCATGTCTCTATCCAGTTATCCAATGATCTTGATTACAGTAGGGTTTTTGCTAGGAGGTCTTACTATATTTTTAACTGTCACATGAGATTATTAAAATGGAAGCCTTATTTTGATGTCAAAGAATAATCTCCTTAGTTCCTTTTTGGATTTCATTTCCTAATTTGCGTTTACATTTTTTCAATGCTCGTGTTCTACATGCACTTGGGTCGGTTTTCGATCGGCCTCTCCAAACCGATCAAGCCACTGCTTCTCGGTCGAGACCGTCTGTGGCTAGAATTTTGGTTGAGCTTGACATTACTAAGAAACATCAAAAGGAGGGTTGGATTGGTTCAGAAAAAATTGGTTATCTACAAAAGTTGAATTTGAAAATGTTCCTGACTTTTATTTACATTGCAAAATCCATGGTCATGCTATTTCAGATTGTTTTGTTGCACACCCACAACTGAAAAAAATTTCTAAGGTTTCTAAACCTATTAAAGATACTGATCCTTCAGAGCACTTTAATGCCAGTTGAACATTCTAAAGCGAAAGATAAAAAACATGAGATTCTTTTAGAAGAACCAAAGTAGGGTGGAGAGGATCCTAACCATTGTGGAGATGACATAGAAGCCGAGACTTTAGAATTTTCTATAAGGAGTGAAGAGGGTGATAAGATGGACAATAGAGAGGAAATTTTAGGTGATCCTTTTGTGGCCGGTGAAAGTAAAGAACTTGTTGTTGAAGGTAAAGTGCAGAATGTTATATCTTCTATGGAGGCTAATGAAAATGTTGATATTTCTCCTCATAAGGCGTTGGATAATAATGTTGGATCTAGTCAAGCTTATGTGGGAAAAGAGGGTATTCATTCTGAGAGCAATTTGTCTAAAATTAAATAGGGTGAGAAAGATGTTGAGTTGGAAGAAGGGGAAGTTGGTTCTATTGAAATTTGGATTCCTAAGGAAGAGATTAAAGACTCTTCTAATTCTATGGCATCTCCTATTGGTAAGGAAAAAAATTTTGAAGAGGGTGATTCTTCTCTTTCTAAAAAGAAGGGGAAAAATAAGAAAAGCAATATTATCAATACCCCTAGGGTCACTAGAGCTAACAATTCTTGTATTAATGGTTAAAGCCATTATTTGGAACATTAGGGGTGTGGGTGGTTCTCTATCGAAAGATAGAGTGAAAAATCTCTGTAGGATTCATGGCATTCATTTACTTGTCTTAACTGAACCTTTAGTTGGTATGGATAAAATGGAAATTGTTAAGAGGAAGATTGGCTTTGATTTTTTCTTTGGTAATTATTCTAATAAAATTTGGTTTTTTTGGAAACGGTCCATTTCTTTGGATGTTATTTTGGATCTTCCTCAAGTTATTCACACTAATATTACTTTAAATTTCGTTTCTTCTTATGCATCTTTTATCTATGCTGCTTGTACTAGAATTGAGAGCAATACCCTTTGGGAGAAACTCCTTGATTTTTCGTCTAATATTAATGCCCCTTGGTTAGTGGGTAGTGATTTCAATTGCATTACTAATGTTTCTGAACATGTGAGAGGTAAACATACAGAATTAAATGTTATGGAAAATTTTAATGATTTGATAAGGAACTGCAACTTGCATGACTTCGATTTTTCTGATAATAGCTTCACTTGGAATAGAGGTACTATATGGCAAAGACTTGATCGCATTCTTTTCAATAATTATTGGATTACTACTTTTCCTAATACTCACACAACCCACCTTACCGGTACCTTATCTGATCACTCTCCTTTACTTTTATGTATCAGCAATAATAATGTTTCTAGCTTTAAACCATTTAGATTTCAAAATATGTAGCTCTTGGATGATACTTTTATGCAAATTGTGAAAGAAAATTGGATTGCTCCTCTCTTTCCTACAGATGATGTTCAGGGTATGAATAGGCTTTGGTTCAAGCTCAAGAGCCCTAAGCAAAAACTTACCTGGTGGAATAAATGCATTTTTAAAAACTTGTTTACTAATATTCTCAAAACTGAAGAACTTGTTGAAAGTGCTGATATGGATTATTTGCTTAATACGTCTATTGATAACTTAACTT